TGGGGTAAAGAATTTGTTTAGGGAAAGGGGAATGTTTAAAGGGGGAATTTAAAAGAGTATGTCAACAACATGCAGAGGAGTGGCAGAGGGGGCAATGTTTTGGGGAGCGGGGCAAAACGGGGCAGCAGAATGGGGGGTCAAAGGAAAGCACTAGCCCGCAGCCCAGGGGCCCAGTGCCCCCCGGGTCATCCACGTCGGGCTCCACCGAAAAACCCTGCCGTCATCGATTGATTGGCTGGGGCCCATCTTCCTCTTCCCAGGTCACCTCTAAACACCTACAGCCAACGCCCGGGGGGAAGTCAGACACAACCGTTAGTTGAAAGGGCCCCAGCAACCCCCTTTAAAAATAAACGTGTCCCTCCCCTGCCCCGCCTTTTGGGTGTTCCCTCCCCCAAAGCAAGTATCGCATCTGGGGGCTCACCCCCCACTGTACATGAGGAAGAGCAAAACAGAGGGCGTCGGGAAAAAGGGGGGGGAGACATCCGCCTCTTCGGGAAAACCCAAAGGCGAAAAGTACTGGGGGGAAAGGAGAGGGGCTGGGAACCTTCAGAAACAGGCCCTGTCTCCTAAACCCAAACCAAACGCAGCCGGGGGGGCTAGTATTGAGGGGGAGACCCTAATTATGTTTGATGATGAGGTTTAACGGCACTTGGCACCTCGGGGCATCAGGCTATTGTTTTCCGCATCACCCCGGAGAAGAGGGGGGCCAGTTTGGGCACGAGCAAAACAGTCGGGGGGTTTCCCCAGGGGCAGAAAGGGGGCCCGCAGCAGTGTCGTGGAGGCAAAACGGCCAGGGAGTAAAGCACCAGCCCAAACGCAGCCTACCCCCAAAGGGCCAGAAAGTGGTGCCGGTGTGCACGGAGGAAGTAGCAGTCAGCCAGTGAGGAGTAGGGGGGGCAAATTTCCTACTGGCGGTCTGGCAATTTTTCGTCAAGCCCCCGGGGGAAGTAAACGTACCCCGTATGTCACTATGGGCCGAAAGTCAAGCGTGGCCAGGGGGCCCATGTTTGGGACAACAGCGTTGCGGCAGCATATCAGCTGTCGCCATTTGTTGTTGGGGGGTGGCCTCAATCATGGAAAACCGTGTAAAGATACGGCGATTCTGCTGCCCCAGCCCCCGCTCCATCACCCGCTCCGTTACTTGCTTCCTTCACCGCCACTCAAATCGCCCCTCTATAGCCAGTCAAGGCCTCCAACACCTTGCTGAGTGGGATTTGTCGCTGTTGGCATCTTCCGCTCGTTCCAGCAATGCTCCTTCTCCTGCTACCCTCCTTCAAGTATTCCGTCAGCAGTCTTTCTTGGAATCCGTTTTTCCAAGAGACAACAGTTTTGCAAGCACGCACGCCGAACGTGCAGAAGCTGAACGCCTCCTGTCCAAGTTGCTAGTGCCTGCAGTCCCTCCCCATTCCAAAGTGGTGACACCAGCAACCTTTCCGATGAAATGAATGGCTTGTGCCGCGCCGCGGTGGAGAGTGCCATGCCGGGATTTCTTCGCCAAAAAGTCAGTGCCCAGCCCTGCAATCCACAGTGTAGAAGATGAATGTGGGGCCAGTCTTTTGAGCATGTCTGTCTCTGCCAAAGTGCACGGCAGCGCCTGAAACGTGTGGAGCTGTAACTACGGTCAGGGACTGTACAATGTTCAATTACAGGCCCACTGGGTGAACCTGGTTGCCGGCACAGCCGCACCAGCAACTTGGACAGGTCACGGCCGGCATTTGCCTCCACGTTTGCACGTCCTTGGGTCCGGTCAAAGATTTCCGCCTCTACCACCTCATTCATCCCGCCGTGTCCTCAGCCGCTAGACACCCCCGTGCCAAGTCCCATTACCCGACCGGCATATCACATAGTGCCAGGGCGCAACGGTGTCCACGCTGTTGCAGCACCCTGGTATGCCCGTGGCGAAACGTAGTCACACAGGGGGGAGGAACTGGGGGGGGGTTCTGAGTGTAATGAACAGAGAAATCGACAGATGGCTGTCCTCCCGGCGCAAACTGAAAATCGGAACCAATGTTGACCAGACAACGGAATCGAACATGGTGTCTGCTCAGCGTCAAGGAATGTTTGGTGCCATGCGCCATGCATGGCTCCACGTGTTTCAATGCTTGTTGGTCAAGCGGTTCCTAAAAATCCCACCATCACCACTGCAAGACAAGCCTTAAAATGTCACGTAAACATTGCATGCATATCAGCCATTCCTACACCGCAAAAGCACAGCCCTCCTTGAGCTGCAAGCGGAAGAACGGAATTCCACAGCATGCGCCTGATCTGCGACGTGCAACAAGGTGGAATGCCAACCCTACACATGTTATGACCCGCCTTTACGAACAGCGAAAGGCCATCAAACCGAATTTTCCTGATGTTACTAGCGGATAAAGGTAACACCCCTGAGTAACTATCGATCTCAGCCATTGGCAGCTCATGCGTGACACCTGCCAGCTTGCTCCAGGCCCCTTTGAGGAGCCTACGCTATTCGAGAGTCGGCATGGGGGGGGGGGGGTGGAGGGGGGGGGCAGGGGGGGGGCAGGTGGGGAGGGGGGGGGGGGGGGGAGGTGGAAGAGGGGGGGGACTATGGGAATGGAACACGTCATTCCTCTGTTGCACAGTTCCCTGGAAACAAATGCTGTTAACAATGGCTGGTCAAGGGTGCGGTAGACGTGGTCACAGATCTCAACGCCACATGACCCCCTGAGGGGCAGGACAGGAAGAAGATGAGGAGGTAGAGGAGACATTTGTGCTCAGGAATTATTGAGTGAAATGGGTGGTATTTTCCATCTCAGCGGACAGGAGTGGAGGAGCAGGAGCATATGGTAGAGGAGGAGGGAGGAGAAGACAGAGGACCCAAGACGCAAACCGATCGGATAGTTTGCGTGGGTAGGCAAGTAAGCTGTGGAGATGGAGGCAGGATGAACTAACCATCAGTTTGGCTGTCCACCTTGTCACACCTGATGTTGGAAACCCTCGCTAAGAACCGTTTCAAAAATGGTGAGACTTTTTTTCAACCCCTGCTGACAAGGGAGGCACAAATAAAGTACTATAAAAACCACCTAAGTACTCAGTTGGTCTCTGCCTTATCTGCGCCAACGTCCATCCTCAGACACTGTGGGCCCTGTGCGCATCGCGTTCCGCTGCCATGGCAGCAGAGGGAGGGGTGGGGTGGTAGGAGCAGTGGCAGCTCCACCAGCAGCGCTGACACAGTCTGCAGTCGATGATGAGTAGCTTTCTTCAGACCAGCGCAGTAGAGGAAACTACTAACCAGCCGCAGCAGACAGCAGACAAGCAGGCATTTAAGGTGGAACCTGGAGCAGACCTCAAACAACAGGCTTGGGCCTACTTGGACAGCAACCCTGCCAACCGAGGTAGACAATCCCCTTGACTACGTCAGGGCAACGAAACTTGACCTTTGGACCCCAACTAGCTGAATTTGCCCTTGAAAAGGCCTGTCATGCCCGGCCAAGTGATAGCGTGGCATCGGAGCGCGTATGTTTAGGAGGGCGGCAGGAGGTATTGGAAAAAACTCCGGGAGGACACGATTGTCCACCCAAAGTGTGGTAGAGCAACTCACGTTTGTGAAAATGAATCAGGCGTGGATTTAGTCTGGTTTTTCTATCCACCAGTTCCTGACACAACTGACTAAAATTATCCGCGCGCTGAATCATGCCCGGCAACATGTGCCACTTTCAGGTCACCTCACACTCGCGGCGGTGTGTTCCATTTTTTGTCATAGGGTGCTGGCAGATTACGGGCCTCCCATTGCTGCTGCCAGCCTGTATCTGCCATGGGCCCCCGTACCGCCTCCTCATGCTGCTGCCAGGTAAACCATCAGTCTGTCTCCTCATGGGTCCCTGTTACGCCTCCCATTGCTGCTGTCTCCATCGCCACACTCTGCCATGTGCCACTTTCAGGTCTCCTCACACTGCTGGTGGGTTCCATTTTGTCATAGGGTGCTGGCAGATTACGGGCCTCCCATTGCTGCTGCCAGGCCCGTAATCTGCCATGGGCCCCCTGTACCGCCTCCTCATGCGAATGCTGCCAGGTCCAGAGTGTCCTCATGGGTCCCTGTACGGCCTCCCATTGCTGCTGTCTCCATCGCCACACTCTGCCATGTGCCACTTTCAGGTCTCCTCACACTGCTGGTGTGTTCCATTTTGTCATAGGTGCTGGCAGATACCATTACGTGGCCTCCCATTGCTGCTGCCAGGCCCGTAATCTGCCATGGGCCCCCCGTACCACCTCCTCATGCTGCTGCCAGGTCCAGAGTCTCTCATGGTCCCCCTGTACCGCCTCCCATTGCTGCTGTCTCCATCGCCACACTGTACTTGCCATGTGCCACTTCAGGTCTCCTCACACTGCTGGTGGGTTCCATTTTGTCATAGGGTGCTGGCAGATTACGGGCCTCCCATTGCTGCGGCCAGGCCTGTAATCTGCCATGGGCCCCTGTACCGCCTCCTCATCTGCTGCCAGGTCCAGAGTCTCTCATGGGTTCCCTGTACGGCCTCCCATTGCTGCTGTCTCCATCGCCACACTCCTGCCATGTGCCACTTTCAGGTCTCCTCACACTGCTGGTGGGTTCCAATTGTCATAGGGTGCTGGCAGATATACGGGCCTCCCATTGCTGCTCATGCCAGGCCCTGTAATCTGCATGGGCCCTTTGTACTGCCTCCCCTCATGCTGCTGCCAGGTCCAGAGTGTGTCTCATGGTCCCCTGTACGGCTCCCATTGCTGCTGTCTCCATCGCCACACACCTGCCATGTGCCACTTTCAGGTCTCCTCACAACTGCTGGTGTGTTCCATTTTGTCATAGGGCTACTGGCAGATTTACGGGCCTCCCATACGCTGCTGCCAGGCCCGTTAATCTGCCATGGGCCCCTGTACCGCCTCCTCATGCTGCAGCCCAGGTCCAGAGTCTCTCATGGGCCCCTGTACCGGCCTCCCCCATTGCTAGGAAGAGGCTGGTAATTTGGGGGGGGGGGGCATGGTGCTAGTCCATCGCCACCACTGTGCCATGTGCCAGTTTCAGACTTTCCACCCCCCCCCCCCCCCCCCCCCCGTATTTAATTTTGACCCTCCTAGTTCCCCTAGGGGGACCACTGCTGGTGGGGTTCCATTTTGTCCATAGGGTGCTGGCAGATTACGGGCCTCCCCATTGCTTGCTTGGGCCAGGCTGTAATCTGCCATGGGCCCCCGTACCGCCTCCTCATGCTGCTGCCAGGTCACGAGTGTCTCATGGGTCCCGTACGGCCTCCCATTGCTGGGCTGTCTCCATCGCCACACTCTGCCATGTGCCACTTTCAGGTCTCCTCACACTGCTGGTAGTGTTCCATTTTGTCATAGGTGCTGGCTCCTTTACGCCAGGCACCTGCCCCCCCATTGCTCCTCGATTGCTGCCAGGCCGTAAATCTGCCATGGCCTTCCCCGTACCGCGCCTCCTCATGCTGCTGCCAGGTCCAGAGTCTCTCATGGGTCCCTGTTACGGCCTCCCATTGCTGCTACGTCTCCATCGCCACACTCTGCCATGTGCCACTTTCAGGTCTCCTCACACTGCTGGTGTGTTCCATTTTGACTATTGGGTGGCTGGCAATAATTACCGACTGGCGGGCCTCCCATTGCTGCTGCCAGGCCCGTAATCTGCCATGGGCCCCTGTACCGCCTCCTCATGCTGCTGCCATGGGGGGGGGGGGGGGGGGGGGGGTGGGGGGGGGGGGGGGGGGGGGGAGTGGGGGGGGGGGGGGGGGGGGGGGGGGGTGGGGGGGGGGGGGGGGGGGGGGGTGGGGGGGGGGGGGGGGGGGGGGGTCTGCCATGGGTCCCCTGTACCGTATCCTCATGCTGCTGCCATGGTCCAGAGTACCCCCTCTCATGGGTCCCCTGTACGGCCTCCCATTGCTGCTGTCTCCAACCGCCACACTCTGCCATTGTGCCACTATTTCGGGGTGGGGTCTCCTCACAACTGCTGTTGTGTGTTCACCATTTTGTCATAAGGATGCTGGCAGAAACGACAGGCCTCCCATTGCTGCTCCAGGCCTGTAATCAGCCATGGGCCCCCTGTAACCGCCTCCTCATCGCTGCTGCCACCGTCAACAAGTGTCTCATGGGTCCCCTGTACGGTCCGACCCCATTTTGCTGCTGCTGAGCCTCCATCGCCTCACGAACTCGCCATGCTCCAGCAACCAGAGTATCCTCACACTGCTGAACACGTGTGGTTCCATTTTGCGCCAAGGATGCCTTAGCAGATTAGGCGTGGGCCATTCCATTGCTGCAGCCAGCCTTAATCCTGCCAATGGGCTCCCTGTAACCGTCCTTGCTGGTGCCGGGAGTTCCAGATTCACTCATGGGTCCCTGTAACGCCGCCCATTGGCGGCTAGTACCCATGTGCCACACACTGCCATGTGCCACTGTTTGGGCTGGGGGTCTCCTACACACTGCCTGGTGGGTTCGTTGGGTGTTTGTCCTCTATGGTGCGGCAGATCCACTACGGGCCTCCCATTGATTCTTGCGCTGCTTGCCAGGCCCTCGTAGCTCTGCAATGGCCCCCTCCCAGCCTCCTCATTGCTGCTGCCAGGTCCAGAGTGTCTCATGGGTCCCTGTACGTGGCTTCCTCCCATTGCTGCTGCTCCATCGCCACTTTCTTCCTTTGGTGGCCCACTTTCAGGTCCTCCTCACACTGCTGGTGTGTTACCTCTTTTTGTCATGTTTTTTTACCTGGCAGGAACGTACGGGTCCTGCTCCATAGCTGCTGCGATACAGGCCCCTAATCTGGCTATGGGCCCCTGTACTGCTCCTCCGGCTGCTGCCAGGTCCAGAGTCTCTCATGGGTGCATACACTGGCCTCCCATTGCCCGTCTCCATCGCCCAATCACTGGTGCCATGTCCCAGTCTTTCGGTCTCCTCACACGCCTGGTGCGGTTGCCCTTTTTTTTGTCAACGGTGCTGGCAGATTAACGGATTGCCATCCCCATTGCTGCTCCAGGCCTGTAAATCTGCCATGGGCCCCCGTCACCGCCCCCTGACCTAAGCTGCTGCCTCGGTCCAGAGTGTCTCAACCGTCCCTGTAACTGCCTCCCCAAATTGCTGCTGTCGACTCCAGTACCGCCACACTCTGCCATGTGCCACTTCTCAGTCTACCCTGCCACACTGCCCATGTTTTCCATTTTGTCTAGGTGCTGGCAGAATTACGGGCCTTCCCATTGCTGCTGCCAGGCTCCGTTTAATCTGCCATGGGCCTCATCGTACCGCCTCCTCTTCATGCTGGCCTGCCAAAGGTCCAGAGTCTCACGAACGAAGGTCCCTGTACGTCCCCTCCCTCCGCTGCTTTCCTGTTCCCCCGCCATGGGTACTCTACCATGTGCCACCTTTTTTACTGTTGCTAGGTCACCTCACACTGCGGTGTGTTCATTTTGTCATAGGGTGCTGTCCCCAATTACGGGCCTCCCATTGCTGCTGCAAGGCCTGTAATCAGCCATTGGGCCCCTGTACCGCCTCCTCATGCTGCTTGCGCCTGTATTCCAGAGTCTCTCTGGCCCCCACTTGTACGTGTTGTACTGTACGGCCTCCCATCCGTGCATGCTGTCTCCATCGGCCACACTCGCCCATGTGCCCTTTCCAGGTAACCCTCCTCACAGCCCTGTTGGTAAGTGTTCCAGTTTTGTACATAATATCCTGGCCTTTACACAGGCCTCCCATTGCAGTCTGACCCAGGCCAGTTTAATCTGCCATGGGCCCTGTACCGCCTCCTTCATGCTGCTGCCCAGGATGGTCCAGAGTGTGTCATGGGTCCCTGTACAGGGCCATCCCATTGCTGCTGTCTCCATCGCCACACCTGCACCATGTCATGTCACTTTCAGGTCTCCTCACACGCTGCGTGGGTGTTCCATTTTGTCATTAGGGTGCAGCTGGCAGATTACGGGCCTCCCATTGCTGCTGCCAGGCTCCGTAATCTGCCATGGGCCCCCGTACCAGCCCGTACCCTCATGCTGCTGCCAGGTCCAGAAGTGTGTCATGGAGTCCCTGTACAGGCTACCTCGCCCATGTGCTGCTGTCCTTCCATCCCACACTCCTGACCATGTGCCACTTTCAGGTGCCACCTCACACTGCTGGTGGGTTTCCATTTTGTGTCATAGGGTGCTGGCCAGATTACGGGCCTCCCATTGCTGCTGCCAGGCCCGTAATCTGCCATGGGCCCCCGTACCGCCTGTCCTCATGGCTGCCGCCAACGTCCACAGATGTCTCATGGGTTCCCTGTACGCCTCCCATTGCTGCTGTCTCCATCGCCACACTCTGCCATGTGCCACTTTCAGGTCTCCTCAACACGGGCTGGTGTGTTCCATTTTGCATAGGGTGCTCGGCAGAATTACGGGCCTCTCCCATTGCTGCCCCTGCCAGGCCTGTAAATCTGCCTATGGGCTCCCCGTAAACCGCCTTCCTCATTGCTGCTGCCAGGTCCCAGAAGTCTCTCATGGGTCCCTGTACGGCCCTCCCATTGCTGCTGTCTCCATCGCTCACACTCTGCCATGTGCCACTTTCAGGTCTCCTCAAACACTGCTGGTTGTGATCCAATTTTGTCATAGGAGCTGGCAGATTACGGGCCTCACCATTGCTGGCTGCCAGGCCTGTAAATCTGCCATGGTCCCCTGTACTATACCGCCGGCCCTCCACATGCAGCTGCCGAGGGTCCCAGAGTGGTCTCATGGGTGTCCACTGTACGGCCGTCCCATTGCTGCTAGTCTCCCAACGCCACACTCTGCCAATGCCACTTTTCAGGGTACTCCTCACACTGCCTGGTGTGTTTCCATTTTGTCATAGGATTGCTGGCCAGATTACGGGCCTTCCATTGCTCGCTGCCCAGTCCAGTAAATCTAGCCATGTGCCCCTGTTAACCGCCTCCTCATGGCTGCTGCCCAGGTCCATAGTCTCTCATGGGTCCCTGGTAACGGCCTCCCAATTGCTGCTGTCCTCCACCCGCCACTACACTAGACGCGTGCCATGTGCCACTTTCAGGTCTCCTCCACAACACTGCTGGTGGTTCCATTTTGTCATAGGGTGCTGGCAGATTACGGGCCTCCCATTGCTGCTATGCCAGGCCCGTAATCTGCCATGGGCCCCGTACCGCCTCCTCATGCTGCTGAGCCACGTCCAGAGTGTCTCATGGGTCCCTGTACGGTCCTCCCATTGCTGCTGTCTCCATCGCCACACTCTGCCATGGTGCCACTTTCAGGTCTCCTCACACTGGCTGTGTGGTTCCATTTTGTCATAGGGTACTGGCAGATTACGGGCCTCCCAATAGCTGCTGCCAGGCCCTAATCTGCCATGGGTCCCCTGTACTTGCCTCCTCATGCTGCTGCCAGGTCCAGAGTCTCTCATGGGTCCCTGGTACGGCCTCCCATTTGCTGCAGTCTCCATCGCCACACTGTGCCATGTGCCACTTTCAGGTCTTTCCTCACACTGCTGGTGGTGTTCCATTTTGTCATAGGGAGCTGGCCAGATTACTGGCCTCGCCATTGCTGCTGCCAGGCCTGTAATCTGCCATGGGGCCCCCTTACCCGCCTCCTCATAGCTGCTGCCAGGTTCCAGAGTGTCTCATGGGTCCCTGTACGGCCTCCCATTGCTGCTGTCTCCATCGCCACACACTCTGCCATGTGCCACTTTCAGGTCTCTCCCACTGCTGGTGTGGTTCCATTTTGTCATAGGTGCTGGCAGATTACGGGCCTCCCATTGCTGCTATGCCAGGCCCGTAATCTGCCATGGGCCCCCGTACCGCCTCCTCATGCTGCTGCCAGCTCCAGAGTCTCTCATGGGTCCCTGTACCGCCTCCCATTGCTGCTTTCTCCATCGCCACACTCTGCCATGTAGCCACTTTCAGGTCTCCTCACACAGCTGGTGTGTTCCATTTTTGTCATAGGGTGGGCTGGCAGATTACGGGCCCTCCCATTGCTGCTGCCAGGCCTTAATCTGCCCATGGGCCCCTGTACCGCCTCCTCATGCTGCTGCCAGGTCAGAGTCCTCTCATGGGTCCCTGTAACGGCCTCCCATTGCTGCTGTCGTCCATCGCCACACTCTGCCATGTGCCACTATTCAGGTTCTCCTCACACTGGTTTGGTGTGTTCCATTTTGTCATAGGATGCTGGCAGATTACGGCCTCCCATTGCTGCTGCCAGGCCATGTAATCTGGCCCATGGGCCCCTGTACCGCCTCCTCATCGCTGCTGTGCCAGGTCCAGAGTGTGTCATGGGTCCCTGTACGGGCCTCCCATTGCTGCTGTCTCCATCGCCACACTCTGCCATGTTGCCACTTTCAGTCTCCTCACACTGCTGTGGGTTCCATTTTTGTCATAGGGGGCTAGCAGATTACGGGCCTCCCATTGCTGCTGCCATGCCCGTAATCTGCCATGGGCCCCCGTAACCGCCTCCTCATGCTGCTGCCAGGTCCAGAGTGTGGTCATGGGTCCCTGTAACGGCCTCCCATTGCTGCTGTCTCCATCGCCACAAACTCTGTCCATGTGCCACTTTCAGGTCTCCTCATACACTGCTGGTGGGTTCCATTTTTGTCATAGGGTGCTGGCAGATTACGGGCCTCCCATTGCTGCAGCCAGGACCCCGTAATCTGCCATGGGCCCCCGTACCGCCTCCTCATGCTGCTGCCACGTCCAGAGTGTTCTCATGGGTCCCTGTAACTAGGCCTCCCATTGCTGCTGTCTCCATCGCCACACTCTGCCATTGTTGGCCACTTTCAACAGGTCTCCTCACACTGCTGGTGTGTTCCATTTTTGTCATAGGATGCTGGCAGATTACGGGCCTCCCATTGCTGCTGCCAGGCCTGTAATCTGCCATGGGCCCCTACCTACCGCGAGGTCCTCATGCTGCCAGTCCCAGTCAGAGTCCTCTCATGGGTCCCTGTACGGCCTCCCATTGCATGCTGTCTCCATCGCCACACTGTGCCATGTGCCACTTTCAGGTCTCCTCAACACTGCTGGTGGGTCCATTTTGTCATCGGGGTGCTGGCAGATTACGGGCCCTCCCATTGGCTGCTGCAGGCCAGTAATCTGTCATGGCCCTCCCCCGTACCGCCTCCTAGCATGCTGCTGCCAGGGTCCAGAGTCTCTCATGGGTCCCAGCAACTGCCCTCCCATTGCTCTGTCCTCCATCGCCACACACTGTTCCATGTGCCACTTTCAGGTCTCCTCACACTGCTGGTGGGTTCCATTTTTGTCATAGGGTGCCTGTATGGCCTCCCATTGCTGCTGCCTCCACCGCCACACTGTGGCTCCACACTCTGGTTTTAGCCCCGTGACTGCCCAAATGAGTGAAGTGTGCGGTGATTCTAAGATCGACGGCACTCATCTGCATGTCATACTGACTGACAGTATTATTTCTCTTCCCCAGCAGACTCCAAGGGCATTTAAATTAAGGTACAGTGTTCTGCACTATTATAAAGGCTCTCTGAAGCCTAGAAACCCTTTTTATAAGTTAAATTCGCAGCGAATATATTCGCATCGAATCAAATTTATTCCTGGAATTCGCCGAATACAGCCGAATCGAATTTTTGAATACTTCGCTCATCTCTAGTGACCATTGTACTGCTTGGATGACAGTATGTTAAAAAAACCCACGTAAAAAATAATCTAAAAAAATAAATAAAAAATGTCAAAAAACTTTTTAAAAAATATAATTTTTGATTATAAACAAATTTAGGTTATATTTTATTTTCACTAAAAAGATAGATGAATACATTTTGGCCAAGATTTATGAAGAAATATTTTATTTGCAAAATTATAATAAGAAAAAAACCCTTTTTTCAAAATGTTTTTCATTTATACAGCAAAAAAATAAATATCCCAGTGGTGAATAAATGCCACCAAAATAAAGTTTTATCTGTCTCAACAAAATGCAAAACAATTCTTATGGGTACAGTGTTGCATGACCGTGCAACTGTCATCAAAGTGTGATAGCTCTGAAAGCTGAAAATTGGCCTGGACAGGAAGGGGGGGGTGAAAGTGTCCGGACTTGAAGTGGTTAAAGGAGAAGTTCATGATTAAAAACCCCCCTAAACATACAAACTCACACCCCTACATGCTGCAGCTTCGGTCCGAGTGATCACATGAACACGGATGGCTCAGTTCTCAGTCTTCCTGTTGGTCACCGCTCTCTGCCTTTGCCCCTCCAGTACTCACTAGAGCACTGGGCAGGAAGGGGGCGGTGTACTGAGAGGCTGGGCCAGGTGCCCACCAGGCATCTGGGTGGATCTAAACAATATAGTCGGGATACTTCCACAGCCTGGACCGGCTCTGTGAAGTCAGTTTTAACCCACTGTCAGCTGATTCTGGGTCACAGGAGAGCAAAAGTAAGTGCACTCCTGTAACCTAAAAGATTAGCATTTTTGTATACATTGCACTTATGTTAGCCTGATAGCCTGAAACAGCTGTATGCAGTCTGGAAAAAGTAGCGCTATAGTATTAGGCTGTATTTGCACTTTACACCAGTGGGACTGGATGTGCACCAGGCAACAGGGGCCTAAAGCAATGATTTTCATGGCAATGCGCTCTGCCCTAAAATGAGGAATAATCCTCTTATTTTTTTGGGATATGTTACAGAATGAGACACGTGAATATCGTCTGTTTTATAAAAGTTTTACTGTGCTATGCACTCTCTCCAAAAACAAAAAAATGAAGTTGGCTATACAGTAGATATGCAGTACTTTAATATTCCTATACAAATATAAAACTCAGCTGCTTAAAACTTAGTAACCTAATAGCTTTGAGGGTATCATATAATCATAAAATCTGGTTTGTATGAGCTAGGTCAAACCACAGTTTGCAAGGTTCTGCACAGAATCAGCACACACAACTGTATAGCAGAAAACCAGTCCGGGCTCATTTCTCAAGAGACAATACCAGTTTAGAAGCTGAGAATGAAAGCAGAATGTAGTACTAACATGGAATGGGGCAGGCAGCAACAATCTTTATTCAGATAAACAGCAACCGCAGAATCGTAACAGATACTCAGCTGGGTAGCCATAAAAAAATCCCTTTTCAATGACATACAGAAGTCAGTTATGAACCATGGCTATTTGGACCTCTTTGAATGTCTACAAGGTGTTATGTCTTGTTTATTTAAGTCTTCTGACATTATTGTAGATAAATCAGTACATGTCTGCATACATTTCTGACATGTCATATAATACAGCAATAGTACAATTTTTCAGAAACAATATTTTTGACTTTTGCTATTAAACATGTCCAGTAAAAAAAATTAAAATTAAAATTTCATCATAAATTTGCTATATCTGCTATATGTCTTTGCTAAAAAACAATCCCAATACGTGTAAATGAATTGGTTTACATGAAAGTTATAGCATTTGCAAATGGTCGTATGTATAGTGGAATTTAAAAAAATATATATTTTTGCTAGTAATGGCGGCAATCAGCGACTTATAGTGGGACTGCGGTGGGCATTCTGACACTGGGGGGAACTGACTTGGTGTCACTGACATCCCCAGTGACACCAGTACAGTGATCAGTGCTAATAAAAAGCACTGACACTGTACTAATGGCATTGGGCAGGAAGGGGTTAACATCTGGGGCAATCAAAGGGTTAACTGTGTGCTGTTTGCTGTTTCACTATTTATTTACGGTACTTATATAGCGCCATCAATTTACGCAGCGCTTTACATATATATTGTACATTCCCTAACCCTCAAGGGGCGTACAATCTAAGGTCCCTAACTTACATTCACACATACTAGGGACAATTTAGACAGGAGCCCATTAACCTAGCAGCATGTCTTTGGAGTGTGGGAGGAAACCGGAGCACCTGGAAGAAACCCACACAGGCACAGGGAGAACATGCAAACTCCTGGCAGGAGGTGCCGTGGCTGGGATTCGAACCAATGACCCTAGTACTGCCAGGCAGAAGTGCTAACCATTTAGCCACTGTGCTGCCCCCTGTGTTGGATTTGTGTGTGCTTCACTTTGTGTAAGCACACTGCTTTGTATGGCTCTGCTATGCAGAGCCATACAAAGCAGTGTGCAGGAGCTGACAGGGGAGAGATCTGTTATGAACAATAGAAATGGAGAGGATGAATCTACCTAATGGGGGCACAGACAGCAAACACATGACAGGGTTCTAATCCCTCTCCATACTATCCACAATAGGAAAAAAAATTGCCTTTAGTTATATTTTAACCTCTTCTTTTACAATGACAGCTTAAATCTGATTTGTTCAATTTTACTTTTTATTTTCTCTCAGTTTCGGTAAAAGAGCCTTAGTATTGTATTATCGTTATTCTTTTTTTTTTTTTTCTTCTTCTTCATCTGGTAGCTGTGCCTTTGCAGAAGCAATAGAAATGAAATATACACAGCACACTGCGTGTTTTTCAGCCAGCTTGTATTTCTTCCAGGATTATTCTTGCTGAAATACCTAGATTAAATATTAACTAGCAGTCTAAATGCCTCCAAATTTATCGTAATAGAAAAAAAAAAAAGACTTCTCTGAAGGACCTCCTGTCATCGGCGTGCTTCCTAAATCAGAAATATCTGACTGCAAATTGCTCCTGAACATCTTCTTAGTGCGGTATTAATCAGTTGCTATAAATTTCTTCATTAGGATTGTCAGAAGAGCCACTGGCATCTTTAATCAGTTGCCAGGCAATTAGTTGAATTCGGTATCACTACCTGCATCTAATTGAATTTATTGTTATTTTGTCAAGATAAATAGGATTTTGAAAGTCATCTAGCCTTGTTGGCTAATTCATCATTGTTATACCAAGGAATAGACTCAAGTATAAACAGATTAATTTTTGTAGGCAGTGAAAAATTGAGGTGCCAAAGGAAGTCTATGGCACAGAGATTATCCTGGTCCCTGTCAGCTTTCTCATGCATTGTATAGAATGGAGTCTGGATGTTAATGGGCTCTACTGCCATGTACAATTTTGTTGTGTGAATTTTCAATTACTTACTTACAAGCATGTAATCGCTGTTCAATTCTGTTTTGTCCATGGAATAGTATTATGGGTAAGTATAGGGCTAAAGCGCTATTAAACCCAAATACAAAAAATGGAATATAATGCAGTTTTTTTTTCAAGTCTTAGATGTGATGGCTACATTAGTTTTCTTTTTTAAAGGGTAACTCCACTTTTGTGGGAAAAAAAAAATTAGCCAATAAACAAAAAATAATAATATAGCGCACGCACTCAAGTCCTACTGTAATTGAATGTTATTAAAAATTACCTTTCTTTTTTAATCTGAAGTGCTGTAATTTTGTGTCAAATGCAATGCAATATGGCTACCTAGAGATGTTCTGTACACAGAGTGTGTACAGAACGATCCCGGAAAATTTAATTCCTGCTTGTGTGATTGGCTCACTGATTTTCCCAGAAGTCAGATTTTTTGCATCCCCTGCAACAAAATGTCGTTTTTGGTAAAATACACTCTAAGAGAAATCTAAAAGGATGCAGACCCTGCAATTTTCCTCATTAGTACCCTGCAGGTGCAGCAGCTGATTGATAATTTGTGAGTCACTATGCCATACAGATTTCCTCTGAGCATGGACACAGACAAACAAAAATCTATTTCTTCAGAATAACAAAAGGTAGGAATCAAACAAAGTGTATTAAAATCCTTGCAATGTACATAGATCACCCAGAGGGCAAGGTTTTTTTTCTCAACAAAAGTGGAGCTTTGTTTTCTTTTTTTCACCTGGTGATCTATCCAGTAAATCTGTTATTATCCAACTTCCTTTAACCGCTTGCTGACCACATCATGAAGATGTATGGCGGCAAAGCGGCCTCTCTACGCTGGATCACGTATCTGATACCTGATCCAGCTCTTCTGGGCCCGCCCCCGAGCTGTGCTGTGATTAGTTACAGCACAAACCAATCAGCGGGTCCCTGCCAATGATTGATGGTCCCGGACCCATCGATCGGCAAAGTGGATTGTAAACAACACAGAGCTCTGTCCTCACACCAGGGATATAATGTTTTTTGTTTCCCTGCAAGGCAGGGAATAAAAATCCTCACACTACTTAGTAAAATCAGCACACAGTAAACACACCAAGCATTGTTAGGAACACAGTTAACCCTTTGATTGCCCCTAGATGTTAACCCCTTCCCAGCCAGTGTCATTAGTACAGTGTCAGTGTATATTATTAGCACTAATCCCTGTATTAGTGTCACTGGAGATGTCAGTGGCAGTTAGTCAGTTCCCACATAGTGTAAGATTGCTTGCGGTACTGCTGCTGCCATCACTAGTATATATATATAAAAAAAATCCAGTATATATATATATATATATATATATATATATACCATAGTTTTTAGATGCTATAACCAGGGCGGACTGACCATTTGGAAACTCGGGCACTGCCGAGGGCCCGGGGTCAGTAGGGGGCCCCATGAGATGCCCCTGGTAGCTTTTTCATAGACTTTTTTGAGTTTGGG